GATGAAATACAAGATGGCCGACGTGGTCGATCGGCATTTTCATGGGGAGGTGCATTAGCACCACCGGAAGAAGGTGAAGAACGTCCACGACGTGCACGAAGCGACATGGATAGCGAAGATAAAACTTCACCGGTCACATTGACGAGATGTCCACTTGATGCTGTTTCGTTGTCAGGTAAGCTTTCATACAGTTTGGTGATGCATGAATTCTAGTGGAAATTCTAAGGATTAAAAATTTTGGCATCGTTACTTAATTCGTCCAATGTCAACATGATTAATTTTGATGAAGCATATATAAAGCTAATACGTTCAGGAAGTTCGTCAGTATCGCATGCTTCCGGAGGTGATGAGGAAGTTCGCCGTTTAATGGATAAAATTGAGAAAAACGTGCTTACTGATGGAGATAGTGATCTGGAGGCCAGTAATTTACTATTATTGCTGTTAATATTATTAAAAGTTGATTAATTCTGTTGTAAAAACATAAAAATAAGTCTTAAATTTGGCATTTTTAAGAAGTCAGTAAGCAACTACTATGAATTTTCACAGTGGTATCTTTGAATTTGGTCATATGGTTGAATTTTTGTTATAGGTTGAAACTGAAGTACCCTCGCTAGAAAGTTTTGTTGGCTGGGAAATTGTAAGACGGTTGAAACCAAAGGAAAAAAACGACAGGAAGTCATCAATGGTTTGTACTATTAATCAATATTTAAATGGTAAAATTAAAAACGACAAATTTAAATTATTAATTTATTTCAAATTATCATTATACGTGAAATTTTTGAAATGTTTATTCAAACATATCTATTATAAACAAATTTTTTTAACTCCTATCAAATGTTTTATTCCAATTGAATCTTATCTTTAGAACTTTTTCATACGGAAAGAACTCACGTGAGAAATTTGAAAATACTTTATAAAGTATTTTACAAACCGATGGTTCTGCAAAACATTGTACCTCCAGAAGTTATCAAATTATTTTTTCCTAATCTCGAAGAACTGTTGGAAGTGCATGGCAATATGTCTAGGTAATGCGTTTTTTTACAGCTCAGGTAATGTTTATATTTCTAATGCTGATGATTTTCCTGCTATTTAAGGAATGAAAGTTAGGATTATGAGTGGAAGGGATGCAGGCCTTTAAGCACATATGGAAAAGGGCTTTCTAGTGTTACTCGCAATAAGCTTTAATCTTTTAATAAAGTTTATTCCGAGTAAATCAACATTGATTAACGATTTATTTTAAATGAATTAGCTGTACTGATATTGTACATTCCAGAATGATGAGAAATATGGTGGAAGAATGGAAACGAGATTGTGATTTAAACGGTTTATTGGGTGATGTTGGTTTGCTGATGGAAGATTTGTTCGATGGTGAAAACGGTGTAAAGCTTATGGAAGCAACTGCAATCTTTTGTCAACATCAGCAGCATGCATTGGACATCCTAGGACAACGGTAAATTAAGGGATTCATTGTCTGAATGACAATCATTATTAAACTATTTTATGAATCAATGGAAAGAATTCAATTAATAGGTGTAAAAAGGAGAAGGACGATCAGTTGAGCAGATTTTTGATTGAAGCTGAATGCAATCCCTTGTGTCGTAAGCTACAACTGAAAGATATGCTTCCTGTTGAGATGCAAAGGCTTGTCAAATATCCGTTATTATTGGAAACAATTGCCAAGTACACGCAAGAACCATCTGAGGAACAAACGAAAATTTTGAACAGTGTTAACTCTGCCAAGCGGATACTTTCAGGTCCACTTTTCGGGTCATGTTTCCAGTCGTTTTTTCGACTAAATTTCATCCATAAGTAACTTTTGGACTTTTTTTTCTTTGTGGATAAATGAAAGATTATCACTTTTGCAAGATTTCTCATATAAAAGAATCAATGTCATGCAGAGTTTATTTTAGCAGTGAATACGGCAAAACGAAATGCTGAAAATCTGAGAAGGTTGGAAGAGTTGCAGAAACGTTTAGTTACAACATCTTACGATCGTGAAAACTTCAGCAGCGATTTCCATTCTTTCAACTTGACACAGTATATTCTTTCATTGCATGAATCCTTGGGATTTTATTGAATTCATTTTAAAATAATCATTATTTGATGTGAACTAAATATATTTTACTTACAGCTACAAGTTGATCCATGATGGACCTCTCACTTGGCGTTGTAGTCGGAATAAAATGATCGAATTGCATGTTGTGCTTCTTGAAAATGTGCTAATATTGCTCACAAAAACGGGTGATGGGAGCAAATTGCTTCTGAAAGTTCAGGTACCATTTTTTTGGTAAAATTTTAAACTGCTAACTTCAACTCAGTGCTTTAAGTTAATTCTGCAGTATCAACATGTTATCCGTAATAACTCAAATTATGGTCTATTATGTAACAATTCAATTATGATAATTCAAAATGGTTCAAAGCTTTTGCGTCTATACACACTGCAATAGCACAGAACCACGTAGTCATGAATAATGTATGACGTGAAATAACTTAAAATGCCATTTTTAACACTTTAACAGTTAAACAAGATGTTGTTACCAACTTGCTTTACTGTCTGTCGTATATTGCATTAAATTTTGAGTTGCTTTGAATATTGTCAAAAATAAAGACACAATTAAAACAAGAAAAAGCAAAACAAAAACATTTCTGACAAAACATATGAAATTTAGATTTATATTCAGAAACTACGAATTGAATGATTAATTGAACAAAGTGATATGGTATACCTTCAAAGCTTAGAGATTTAAACACCATCTGGAAAATCACATTCTCCATTTTGAACATCTTTTG